CCCCCGCCTCATCCAGGGATAAACAGTTAATGATCTAAGGCAGAACGCTTTAATACGAGGTGTGATGGAGAGTGGAAAAATACAATAGGACAAAAGGATCTGAGCTGAGGGCAGGAAACTGGGGGGAAAAGAAGGTCTGTTCATTCAGATTCCTCTGCATTTGTGAAACGGTTGCTGCTTTCTTCCAGGTACAAGGAGGGCACCTCTCTCGTGAGAGTCTTATGACCTGGTTCAGGGGCGGGTCAGAGAGTCCTTCCTGCACCTGCCGTTCCTCAAATTCCTTCAGCTGAACGTATGCAACACACCAAGGAAAATACACAGTATTTTGAGGCAGCATGTCCTGAAACCCGTCATGACTGATGAAGGGACCCTGCAGCCTAGAGAGAGGACGGCATAAGCCAGGACCACCCGGTGAACAAGCCCCAGGGCTGAGACCTCGCGACTCCGGCCCCAGGCTGGCTTGAGAGCACTTACAGCTGAACTTCCCCGGTACAAGCCTCCGCACCCAGATAGCACCTCCCCACAGCTTCTCTCTGCACCTTCCTCATCTCTGCCCCCTCCTCTCCTTCCCCGCACCCCCTCCCCAACCTGTCACTACCCAGTGACTTGCTGATGCCTGTCACCACCCTGCTTCAGCTCAGAGAGTGACTCTGTCTCCAGGCAGGTGGGCCTTCCCCATCAGGGACTCTCAGAAGCTGGGACATGACACGTGGCCTCAGCCCCCTCCCATCACCCGTGTGAGCCCAGCTTCAGGGGCCAGGCAGCTGGAGGTCTCAGGGGGCACCGGGTAGCCTGAGGCAGACCCACCGTGTGCCAGGCAGCATCTGGGGAGCAAAAAGAAGATTCTTGTGTTTTATGACAGAATATCTGGAAAGAAGCGATTTTAAGTTTAGCACTACAGGTAAACGTGGTGTCACTTGAAGAACTAAAAATGAATTTCCTGGTGTGATGGGTAGGGGTGGGCCTCTTGGCCCGTCCTGTCCCAGGAGCCCCTGAGGGCCTCTGAGAGTGTCCCACAGGGGTGGGGGAGCCTGGCCCGCGTGTTGCGCTCAGCCTCAGCGGCCGCCACAACGCAGGCCCATCAGAGGAGCCGACTGCGCCTTCCCTCCGTGGGGGGCGGGCCTGTGCCACGCGGGGGTCCTGAGTCCTCCGACCCTGCCAGCAGAAGCATGAAAGATTGATGGCCGCTTCCTTTTGAAGCAGACTTTGTGTAAATCTAGCATGAGGTCGGCAGCACCAGGAATTGCAGGCGAGTCTGCTCTCTCTGCTCGGCTTACTGGAAGCTCCTTCTAACAGACTGTCTCTGCTCCTCAAGGCCACTGTGGGGCTGTCTGCTCTGCTCCCCAGGGCCTTGCTGGCCAGGAAGGGGGCTCTGGGGAGGCTGGGAGCCTGGACTGGGTGACGCCAGCACCCTCCACACAGTCCTCCCCTTTCCCTGGGGAGTCAGGGAGGCAGGCATCTTAGGGAGTGGGGCCCGGATCTGCCCCAGGGTCAGATCGCTGCTCTGCTGGCCTCCAGCTGCGTGGCTTCCAGCAAGCCATCAACCCCTCTTCCCTCTAGGATTCCAGGGAGTCTGCTTGACCAGCTCAGCCTGTGCTGAGTGCTGTGGGCTGAGTTAGATCTCCCCTAAATGGCCCAACGTGATGGCATTTTCAGCTGAGGCCTCGGGAGGTAATGAGGTTTAGATGAGGTCAAGAGGGTGGGGCGAGACACCAGGGAGCTTGCTCGCTCTTTGCCACATGAGGACTCAGTGAGAAGGCAAAAAAGAAAAAAGCCAGAAAGAAGGCTCTTACCAGAACCCACCCTGCTCTAGGACATCCAACCTCCAGAACTGTGAGAAGATACATTTTTGTGGTTTATGCCACCCTGTCTATGGTCTTCTGCGATGGCAGCCCGGGCTGACTAATACAGGAAGCAGTCCGTCCAGGGGGGCTGTCACTATCACGGTTACTTATAGACTGCAGGTGGATCAGCTGTCTCTGATGGGCTGTAAACCTCTGGAGGGCAGAGACGGTAAGACTGTATAAGACTGTATTATGTACTCATTCTGGGTCCCCTCAGAAACCTCCGTGGATTTAAGCCCAGGGTCGGATCCTCATAAATGTTTATTAAATGATGGAAGGATGGATGGATGGATGGACTGAAAGAAGGGGACAGAAACTCAAATAATTGACTCCACCAGATGACCCAAAGGACATTTCTATGTGGTTTAAGGCCACAGGGACATAAGAAATGCCAGCTAGGGCAGACCCAGGACAGCTTGGACCAATGGCTAAGTTGCTTCTAGGTGCTGAGGGACACCCCAGGAGGCCACCATCGTCACCTCTGTGATCAAGTCGGAAGGAAGACCTGGCATTTTCTATAGATGGTCTTCGCAGTAGAGATGCCACACTCAGTGAATCGGGAGTTGTATTGCACACATTCAGACGAACCAGCTTTCATTTATCCCAAAGGACTGCTATTTTCCCAAGAAGGACCAGACATAATTAGGGGAAAGAAAACATCTCCCAGAGCCGAGGCCAGGGCACACCTGGGTGGGGGCCGAATGAACCCTTTGGCAATATGTGGATCTAATTTTGAGCTCAGGCTTAATTCGGCTGAGAAATGGCCTTGGGTGTGTGATCTTAACATACTAGAAAAAAACAGGATACCACCAACGGGTCTCAATCTATTTTTGCCCCTTCATCTCCCCTCTACACTTTCAGCTTGGATCTTCGGTCGCCAGTTCCAACCTGTGAGCTTCTACCTCTGTCCAGGGGACCCAGAACTCTTCCATCTTCAAAGTCAGTGACCCCATCGCTCTGACCTCTGCTTCCACGTCTCCTTCCCTGACTCTCCTCCCTCCCTTTTTCCCTTATATGGACCCTTGTGGTGACACTGGGTCCAACCAGATGATCCAGGAAAATCTCCCCATCCCATGATCCTTAATTTAATCCCATCTGTAAAGTTTCTTTTGCTCTGTAAGGGGACATAGACACAGGTTCCAGGAATGAGGACTTGGACATCTTGGGGGCTGCTATTCTGCCCACCACAGGCGCTGACTTATGGTTTGCTTGAGTTTTTTCTGGCATCACCTTCTAGCTCAGGTGTAGTGATGGAGAAGATTGAAAGAGGGTTGGAGCTCTGCCAAGGAAAAGAGGCCAAGGGAACCGAGGGCAGTGGCAAGGGTGAGTTTCGATGCTGGTTTGCCATCATTTGTCTGGGCCTTCCTGCAGCCAGGAAGGATCAATATGTGAAAATGGAGAGGACAAGGCCCAGAAGGGCTTGGTGAGGTTGGAGAACAGGTGCAGTGGTGGGAGGTGGTGAAGGAGTTGGGAGCATTGGAAGCTGTGGTCAGAGGGCAGGACGATGGCCCTGAGGATTACGGGCTGGGGGGACAGTCAGGGGTGAAGACAAGATCCAGGATGGAGATGAAGGTCGGTGGAGGTGAGAAGGTCAGATGGTCAATGAAGGTGAGAAGGCAGGAGAGCTGTGAGACCAGGAGCCGGAGTGGTTGGCCCCAGAGATGTAGATGTGGTTCAGTTTGATGGTGGCAGGACTTTGGGGTACAGGGGAGAGCTTTCCGCCAAAGATGAAGCCCCTGATGACGTGAAGGAGTAGCCAGGAGATGCTCAGGAGATGACAGTGATGAGAAAGGGTTCAGGATGGCCTCCCAGGCCCTCGGAGAAGGCTTTCCCCCAGGACGGTGGGAGTGATGGTTTGGAACCTTATCTTTTTATCAGCCTCTAGGATAAAGCCAGGCCCGAGGTTCACAGTGGGAAGTCACCAGGTCTTAACCAGATGCCTCCCAAATATCCCAGCACTTTGGCCCCATTCAGACTCGGTTTAAGATCCGGACACCCACATCCAGCAATAGTTAGATAACTGGTGGGATCTCTGTTTTATGCAGTCATTAAAGGCTATGTTTCCGAGGAATATTTAAAGACATAGGAGGAGCCTCAGGATGAAAAACAGTGAACGGGGCATGATATTAAGCCAGACCTCACGTACATTCGGGGACACTGAAACCTCACCTGTGCTTAGGTGCTGGCATTTTGTCTGATACTGTTTTCTTTAACTTTTCTGTACTTTTCAGATTTCTTTTTAAGGTAAAATGTAATGCTCTTAGAATGAGAAAAGCGTAAGTATTGTCTGTTTTGAAAAGCACCTGACTATTGGCAGTTTAATTTGTGGTTTCTGGAGATCCGACAGGTGTTAATGTATCTCCAAGAACACGTATCAGGGGACAAAGGTCAGGACCTAGGTCCTTCCAAGCCCCCTCTCCTGCAGTTGTGAGCACGAGGAGGTGGGTTCATAACCTTCTTTGATCGCAGACTTCTGTTCCTGCGGTCATACTGGCAGTTTTGTTGAAAGCTGCAAGTTTAAAAATACCTGTATCAGGCGTAACTGTCCCCTCTGCCCCTCTGGATTCTAAGGTCCCTGAGCAGCTATCCCTCCCCTCGGCCCTTCCCCACCCCTCATCTCAGGGCTGGGCAGCCAGGGGTGCTATATTAGGAAGTCACTTGGCGGGTTCTGAGCTCCCTGCAGGGAAGCCTCCCCTCCCCCCAGGCCTGTCCTCTTTGACAGCTCCATGCTAGGCGCCCAGAACAGGACCCCTCCCCGCGCAGCCTGGCTCCCGGGGCACCCGAGACTGCTTGGGACTGGCCCTTTGCTGACTGTATCACCTGCATGGAACTGGGAACATCCCGAGGGGGTTTGGGGGATTGCAAGGCCTGCAAAGAAAGCAGAAGCCATGTGGCTGCCTTGATGGCCACCACTCCACCGCCCGGGGACCACTGAGGGCAGAAGAGGATGGGTGTCAACCAGAGAAGCCACTGGGATGGGAGGGCTCTCTCGGGGGCGGGGAGAGGGGTGCACCACACGGTGCTTGGGTCAGCTGGATGACACGTTTCTCTAGAACCAAAGTGCAATGCGCTCGGCCTGGCTCTGAGAGCACCACCTCCCAGGGCTGTTAGAAACAATTCTTTCTGGGAAATTCCCTGAGTGTTTTTAGTCAACAGACACTCCTGAAAGCTTACACGAAGACCAGTTGTAAAGCTGGAGCCTTTATGAATGTTTGCTTAAGTTAAAGTTTAATTCATTCTCCCAACAGCCCTGGGAGGGAAGCATTACCCTCCTTATTTGACCTGGGAGGGCACCAGGGCTCTGAGAGAGCTTGGGTGACTGGAGGATTTAATCTCCGTCTTTCTGGCTCTTGGCCTCCTCGCTGCAGCTGCCGGGTGTGGGCGGAGGACACGGCCAGCGGTGAGTCCTGGTGTCGTGCTGGGCCAGGATTCTGGGCTCTTTCTACCGCTGCCTGTTTGGTTCAATTCCATCAGCCTTTTGTCCACAAACCCAGGGAAAAGGTATCCACTGCCCCCACCAGGGAAAAGTGACAGTTTTCTTAGTTCCTTCTTCAACCCCCAACCTCTCTTTTCAAAGTTGTTGGCTCAAAAGTGAAGAGAAGAAAGGCAGGAATCGGAGTGTGTTGCAGGGAAAGGAAATACTGAGGATAAACACGAATTTTCATATTATGTCCACAGATGCAAGTACCAAACACTCGCTGTGGGATCGTCACCCTCCCGTGCCTCGGTTTCCCTCACTGTAAAATCAGCCTGGGGATTGCTGACATTTTGGACCAGCTCATTCTTGGGGGTGGAGGGAGGGGCTGTCCTGTGGACTGTAGGATGTGCAGCAGCATCCTTGGCCTCCCCTCCCTAGATGCCAGTCCCATCCCCTTCCCAGCTGTCAACCAAACCAAAATGACAACCAAAAATGTCTCCAGACATTGGTAAATGTCTCCTGGGAGCAAAATCGCCCCCGCTTGAAGAGTTTGTCACAAAAATTCTCGAAAAAAATATTTCCTTCCTTCCTTTTATTCTTCCTTTACGTCCCCCTCACCTCCTTCTTTGGGCTTGCTTCCTCTCCTGTGATGTGCACACTGAATGAGATGATTCCTAAGGTACCAGCCTCTCCTGCTGGTCATAGTGTCTAGTGATTCTGTGGTTCTTGTTTGAGTCCAAGCCTGCTCCTCCATCCTACGAAGAAGGAAGACAGCATGGACCTATTTTACAGATGGGGCATTGGGAGCAGAGAAGAGCCCAGATTTTAGCTTTGGAGCTGAAGGAGGTGCTCAGGACACACAGAAGTTGATGTAGTCCCAGGCAAAGGTGTCAGTTTCAAATAGGTACTCCCACAAAGATTAGGGATGGGGAGGCAAAAGAGGGAGATGCCGAAAGACACAGACCAGGAGCTGAAACTGACCAGCTATGCCCCCAAGTTGTATTCCTTTCCTCCTGGGCTAGACTACACGTCCCATCTTCCCAGCTCTCAGATGTGAACATGTGATTGAGTTCTGGCCAACGGCATGTGGGCAGAAGGGGAAGTTACAACTTTCCAGGCCATTGAAACCTCTTACAACACTCTCTGTGGAGCCTCCAAAGCGTGGGTCTCTGCATCTCTGAATAACCGCGTGGAACAGAGCACCTCCTACCCGCCCAGCTGATCGGGCTTCACGGATAAGGAATAAACTTCCATTGCATTAAGCCAGTCTGCATTCCAGGCTGTTGGTTGTGTCGTTAGTTTACTCTGAGTAATACAAGTGAAGGGTGAATGGGGGCTGGCAGGCACTCTGGGTTGCATTTTGATCAGGGCACTAGAACATCCACTTCTTTGTCAGTTCTTGTGGATTTAACTTTGCAACTTACAGAGGCAAGAGTTTTAGCTGAACAAAATGCACAACCATGTGAGCCCCACATCGAACAGAGAGGCCGCACTGTGTCACTGAACGCAGGCTGCACAGGAGTCCGCCCAGGACGGCTGCAGAGCTTGTGCTGAGCCAGAGTTTCCTCGGAGCTAAGAATAAACAGAAGTTCCGGCGCATGGTGCCAACGACGGGCAGGGCTGGCTCCAGGCTGGACGAGCCCTGAGCCCGGAGCTCGGCAGGGGTCAGTTGGTGGGATGGGACCCGAGCTCCCCTGGGCCCTGGGCCTCGTGGCCCAGCCCATCTGGAAGCATCAGTTTTCCCTAGTGCCCATCTCAGGCAGGAGGAAAGAGGGTTAGAAAGCCAGGGCTGAAAGTTCGGACAAGCCAGAGTGGTCCCTGCAGCCACGAGGGTGGGCTCATGGAGACACTGGGTCTTCAGCCTCCCTGCTCAAAGTACTTAGCTGGGACCAGGGTGGGAAAGGCCTTCGTGACACCAAAGTGCTCTTGAAGGAGGCTCAAGAGTTTGGTGCATCTTGACTCCAACAGGGTCAGAGAAGACCGGGGCTCTCAGGAAGAAAACTCACTGTCTTAGTCCTTAAAGAGAAGGGAATGTGAAACTGGATGTGAAAGTGCCCGGGTCTGCAGCTCGAGTAGGACTGGAGGGCACTGGCATCTCTCCTCAGTGCCTCCCAAGAGGGGAGGGCTGACATCCAGCCAGTGCCCACCTGCAAGGGTGAAGCTGGCGGGTTATAGTGTGACTGGTGGGGGCCTGTGCTGTATGTCGATCAGAAGGGTCACTCATGGTCCCTCTCTCCATCCCTTGGAGACGGCCAGCTGCACTGCCCGGGATTGGATGGCTCAGTCTCGTTTGGCCTCTGGTTGGAGCCATATTTTCCATCCAGCTCCTCCAGGCATAAAGCTCACATTTTGGTACGGGGCTCCTCCCTCTGTTTCTCAGTCACCTCAGGATTTGGAGGGGAAAGGAGGCTGGTTATTGAATTTCTTAGGAACCCCACCAGGCAGATTAGGGACCCTGAGGCTGAGGCTCTGTCGGGCTGGTCCCGCCCTGCAGGTTCTGAAGACAGGCCTGGCAGGCTCAGCTGTCCAGATGCCCCCACCACGCTGGAGGTGGCCTGTCCCTCTGGCTCATCTGGGAAAAGGCATCTCCACAGCACCACCCAGAAGTCTAAACCCAGCTGGTGGTGCTGGGCGGGTGGCCAGTGACCCGGACAAAAGCCAGAGAAACCGGCCTTGCTCAGCACAGAATCCGCCCTCCCTTCCTCTTCTCCTGGAGGGTCCTCAGCTTCTCCCCGTTCCCAGGGACACTATGTGCCCACAAAGACTTGAAGGGCGATCTCCCCCTCCCCCTACATCAAGAAGAGAACATTTTAAAAATGTTTTTATTTAATTAAAAAAAAGACAGAACTAACAACCCAAAACCAGTAGTAGGTACAGAATTCACAGGTGCTTAACTGGTGAAACACACAGGGGCTGGATGGAGAGGGTAGGGGTGGGGGGAGTGTGAGGAAGGAGGCTCAGACCACCGCCTCCCGCCGTGGGCACAGAGTCTCTGAGTGAAGGGCGGGGGAGCTAGCTCCACTCCCTTCCCCAGGGAGGCCCCTCCGAGATGCCCGGGATGCCCGAGGGGAGGGGTGGACCAGAGCCCGGGGCGGCGGTGGGGAGAAAGGCTGTGAAGACCAGAGGGTCTGAGGTTGTTCTGCTCCCTGCTCTTCTGTCCCTCCTTGTCACTTCCTTCTACTTTCTTGGTCCCTAGAGTGGGCCCCGCGTTCTCTGCCTGGGACTGGGCAAGAGGTAGGATTCATTGGAACACAGCTTTCTCCAGGAAATGATAGAAATTTCCGGGGCAGCAGGTGGGAAGGTGGCTGACGCAGAAGAAAGGATGAGGCTGCCTGTTTTTGGAAGTGACAGAGGCAGAGTCTCGGGGCCTGGCTGGGGGATGTGTCCCCAGATGTCGCCCCCATCCTTCTAGCCCAGTGAGATGGTGTCATGGCATGGAGAGGTTGAGGGTGGACAGGTGGGGGCGGGACGGGGTGGGCCCACAGCAGGGGCGGGCCACGAGCCCTGACACTCCAGCATTCACTGCTGTACATGCTTGAACAAACCACACAAAGCCAACCTCAACGGGAGGGAGGGGTTTCGAGCAAGTGCAGAGGGGCCCCCGGCACGCAGTCCGTTGGGGGCGGGACATGTGGAGATACCCTCAGTGGGGCAGAGGAGAATGGCGATGACCATGACCTGGATCTGAACTCCTAGGGGCCGAGTCCACCCAGGGGGGTCCGGGAACAGATGGCTGAGGTAAGAATTTGCTTGTCACTTCTAAGTACGACAGCTACCGGGATCACAGACAACTGCTCGAGGATGATTACCAAGTCTCAAAAAGTAAGAAAGGGTTTGTCTTTAGAAAGCACGTGTTTTATATAAAAGAAGGTCAGCTCCATGTTCAAAAAGGATGCTTTCCTTTTGAACCCGGACATGCTTCCACGTTCTCTGCTTGCTTCCGGAGGGGGAGAAACGGTTGGGAAAACGTCAAACGTGGGACCTGCCGCCTGGCTTCCCACGTGCTGGGACGTCAGGTCGGCCTTGCATTCAAGCGTCCTCGCTGAGCCCTTTCAGGTGGTGGCGGAATAAATCACACTCATAGGATTTGGGGCAGGTGCTGCTGCTGCTTTTTAAGAGGGGATGAATGTAACTTGCTCTCCTGGTATTTGCAGTAAGTCGGGATTAGTAACCACCCAGGAAATGGATGTTTGTTCTGATTCTTTTTGGTTGCCGTTCAATAGGCCATGGGTTCTGTTCCCAAACACCATGGGGAGGGGAGAGGGTCTGTCTCCACAGCCCCCTACCACCACCATGAGGGGCAGAGCCACTCCTCAGGCCAGTGGGCAGGGGTGGGGAGGATACAGCAAGAGGCCACTTGGCCACCTTTCCTCTGACCGGTGGAATCTTCCAGACGCTCAAGTACAGTCAGTGTGTTCTGCCCTTTCTATGTGAGGCAGAAACTTCCAGGAGCAGAGAGGAAAGCCAAAGACAGATTCTGGCCTTTACCTCACGCCCAGGCCAGCGAAGGCCTCCCCCTTTGCTGAGTCCTCCATGGGCCTCGGTGTCCTCAGGTTGAGGGAAGCCGGCCCAGGACAGCACAAAGGCCAAAGCACCAGTTGGCCACAGGATCACTGTTATTTCGACAATAGGCCACTGCCCGAGAAAGAGGGACAGACAGACAGAAGAGGAAGGGGGCAAGCTTCAGCATCCTCGCCTCCAGCTCACAGACACAGGAACTTCAAGTTCAAAAGCAACCATCCAGCATTCAGAGGCCCCCTTGTGCCCCGCGAGGCCCTCCCCGTGGCCCAGCGCCCAGGCTGGGAGGGAAAACCCGGAAAGTCTGTTCTTCCGGCAAGATTTGCTTCCAAGAGGAAATAATGGCTCGATTTTGCTTTACCAGGTTGCTCAAGGCTGCACAGCCTCAGGAGAGCTCTGGGGCCTCCTGGGAGATTTCAGAACCGTGGGGCATCCCAACACCCTTTTGGGGGATAAAGTTAGCCTTCTCGCTTCCAATTCCCGTCTCCGGGGAGGGGGGGGCTTCGCTCCAAGCCAGCCCGCGATGCATTCTGGAGACTGGGGAGGGTGGGGTTTGGCTTCAGTCCGTCCGTCTTAAGGGTCGGCCCCCCCTGCAGGATACAAACAGCCAATCCGGGGAGAGGCCGGCGCAGAGAGGACAGGGCGGCTCACACCGGGGTGGTCCGCCGGTTCAGCATGCTGATGTGCACGCCTTCCTTCAGGTCCTGCTGGAAGAAGTCGTGCACCTGTAGGAAGCCGGCCTCCTGGTCGGGGCTGTAGCTGGCGGCCGTGGTCACTTTGAGGGGCTCCCTGGACAGCGTGTACATGGACAGCTCGCCCATGGGGATGGCCCCGGCGATCTTCAGCCCTACCGGAGACGCGTCCCTGGAGGGAGAGGCCTCGGTGGACCTGGAGCTGGACCGCGAGCGCCGTCGCCGGTACCTGTAGCTCGGCATCCTGGCGTAGGGAGACGAGGAGGGAGCCTTGAGGAACTCCCGTTTGGTCTTAAATCTCAGCTCTTTGTTTTTCTCAATGTAAATGTTTACAGCCAAGACGCCCACGGTCTCGGCCACAATGAAAGACAGGGCTCCGAAGTAAAAAGACCAGCCGTAGTTGTAATGGTTTTTTTTGTCTTCGTCGCGTTTGTCGCTGGGGTCGCCTGTGTTGCTGGAAATGTAGACGATGATGCCAATGATGTTACTGAGGCCTGGAAGGGGAAGCAGGAGTGGGGCGGGAGGGAGAGAGGTAGAGGTTAGACCCCCAGCTGGGCCGGAGGGCGGGGGACGT